ACTCCATAATAAGTTTTAAATATTGTAGTGCAATATGCCCCAGCTCTGGGTAAGGATTTACCTGCAGTATCTCATTTAGTCCCAACAAAAATTAGAAGGTAGGTGTTTCCATCAGCCCCTTGCTGTGTAAGAAGAAACCAGGGCTTAGAGGCACCTGCCTGAGGCAGACGCTGCACAGGGGTGGGAGCAAGGACTTGAATCCCAATCCAGTCTGTCCCAGTTCTCATGGTCTCAGCTTCCTTTTCTGTCAGGGGAAGAGGTGGGCCTAGGTGATCTCTGAGTTCCTTTATAGCTACAGAAAAGACAGGTTTGCATAAATATGCTCCACACGCATGCATCTGCTAAGGCCTGCATGGGATGGAGGCCCTGGAGGCCCCGTCCCTCACCAGGAATGCACAGCCTGTCCCTGAGGCAAGGCCCGTGACTGCGAGGGAAACCACTGCCTGGGCCTCCCAGACCCTTGCCCCTCACAGTGAGGGCCTCCCTCCATGTGGACAGAGAGGTACCACTTCCCTCACTCTCCATGGAACCCTTCCACAACCTCTCTCTGCCTGAATGATCTCTCCTTCCCTTAAGAAGCTCTTCTTCTCTTCACCTGTTCCATCCTCTCCTGCAACCCCAGATGCGACCAGCTGGTATTCAGTATTCACAGGGTCACACCCAGGAATGGAGGGACTCTCAACTTCAGCTCCCCAAACCCCCTGTCCACTACTAAACATCCTCAGCAAAGAGAGGATGACTAATTCTGTTACCCTACATCCATTCTCGGTGAATCCTCTGTATCAACCCTGTCGGTAGGTATCACGTTCCCATTTTACAAACATAGGCACTACAGCTCAAGAAGGCCCAATGAGGCCCAAGATCACACTCCCCTAAGTGGCTAGGTTGGTGGGGCACCTGGGTGACTCAGTCCGTTGAGCATCTGACTCTTGATTTTGGCTCAGGTCAGAATCCCAGGGTCATGGGACCAAGCCCTGCGTCTGGCTCCATGCTCAGGATGGGGCCTGCTTAAGATTGTCTCTCTCTCCCTATCTGTCCCTCTCCCCCCCACCCTCTTCCCCTCTCAAAATAAAAAAATTAAAAGTGTTCAGGTCAAGATTCAAACCCTGGACTACCATTTCAAGGCCCACACTTTTTGTGCACTGGACTAACTCCCTAAACACTCCATTTTATGCTTGCAAGGGCAGCTGAATTGCTAGAAACAAGAAAAACCTCAGTTCTCCATGAGCACTCCCTTCCCACCTGGATGCCTCAAACATCACTGTGGCCATGGTTCGGGGCACAGCCAGACTGCTCTCCTCCTGGCCTTAGACTCAGGGCTACCGGGACACCAGTAATCCTACTCCCAGTCACTGACCCTAACCCTAAGCCTAGTCTTTGAACTAGGCAGATCAGAGGGGAGGTTTGCCTTTACCCCAGTGCCTCTGGCATCAGAGAGTGCTAGAGGAATCCTGGCAGCTTTTTTGCCAAGAGAATCCCAGCAGGACTTTCTAAAAACCAAACAGACAGAGGAGGCCAGAGATAAAGAACACATGTTCCAGGAGGACCCAATGACAGGGGCCCAAATTCTTAGGCAGTAGATGTTAAGGATATAGTGGCAACTCAGCCCCAAAGATACAGGAGCACCCTTTTCTGAGTTCCTAGGGCCCTGATTGGGGGTATCATGGTGTAGAGAAGGGCCACAAAGACCCCATGCTCCCCACTCACAGCCTTTCCACACAGATGATGGAAGAGGCAATGCACAGTCAAATATGGGTGTGTAGAAGTGGAGAAGGGCTCCATACAGTCCTACAGGGTGGCAGCCTTATCATCCTAAAGCGCCAGTACAGATCTTGGGTCCCACAGGCCAGGCCTTCCCAGCTAGCAAGCCACAGGCAGGTGACATATGTGCCCAGATACTGACCCTACGGGGCAGCCAGACAGGGGCCCATGTTCCCCTGAGCTCCAAGATGCTCTGCTCACCCTAGTATGCCAGGCAATAATGCCACTGTCTGTGTGCCTTGGTGGGAAAAAATTAGGGAGCCCTGCTCTAAGGTTGGGTCTTCCTTCTTCCAAAATGAAACATAAGGTCTGCAGCAGGGAAGTGACCTGCCCAAAGCCCCTCAGTTAATTTGGGTCAGAGAATGTAGTGGTACCCGGGCCTCCCAGCCCCCCACCCAGCCTTCCTTCTGCTGTGTGCCCCACCCTGGCCCACTTAGTTTCTCAATGGCCTGGCCAGGGCCCTCCACCCAGTTATGTGCCCAAGTTTCTCCAACAGGGCCACCCATGCACCATCTCTGCAGCTACTCTGGGTGGAAAGGGGTCAACAGGAGCAATGAGGGGGGAGCTGCCAAGACCCCGAAGGCACCCCTCCATTCTATGGGGAGTGGGCCCCAGAGCCCAGGGATCCAGGGTCATGTGGGACCCAGTTTCACCTGGGAAGTAGATAAAGAAAGCTGATTCAGTGAGCTGAAACCCAATAATTTCCTCATTTGTCTTGTCAATGTCCTTGTCCTACAGAGTATCACGCCCATCGCATAAAGATTTTCTGCTAGAAAGATGTTTAGTGTGAGTCTGGGAAGCAGACCTCTGACCTTCATCCTTCAGGGCACAAGTCAAAACTATTTCTTTGTTGGAGATAAACCCAATGACTCCCACCCATGTAGTAGTGCTCAGCTGGCAGGGTGGGGAATGGTTACATCAGGGCTGCAAGGCATCCCTACTCCATCATCACCTGCTGATGATATTCTCAACCTGCACCTGAGCCCCAAAACTGTCTCGAAAGGAGTGGCCAAAGGTGGATTTCTATCCAAAACTAACCAGGATCGGCTCTGAAGTCTCCAATTCATTCACCACCACCCCCAACCACCGCCAGGGCCCAAGGGTATATCTAGACGGTCACCCTTTGGCCAGTGCCTCCTTTCTGATGGAGTTCCAGGATTTCTCCCACCAGGTATATAGGTATCTTCCCATCTCAATCCCTTAGAGCATGTATTCTCTTTTTTTTTTTTTTTTTTAATTTTTTTTTTCAACGTTTTTTATTTATTTTTGGGACAGAGAGAGACAGAGCATGAACGGGTGAGGGGCAGAGAGAGAGGGAGACACAGAATCGGAAACAGGCTCCAGGCTCTGAGCCATCAGCCCAGAGCCCGACGCGGGGCTCGAACTCATGGACCGCGAGATCGTGACCTGGCTGAAGTCGGACGCTTAACCGACTGCGCCACCCAGGCGCCCAGAGCATGTATTCTCAATGGGAGCGGAGAGTATCACCCCCAACCAAGCAAAAATCGGTTCTTGGGCAGGCAAAAAAAAAAAAAAAAGCAGGTATTCCTTGGCACTTGCTATGGACCAAATTGTGCCCAACAAATTCATATACTGAAGTCCTAACCTCCAATGTGACTATACTTGCAAACAGAGCTTTTAGGAGGTAATTAAGGTTAAATGAGGTCATAAAGGTGAGGTGGTAGAGCCATAATAGAACTGGTGTCGTCATAAGAAAAAGAAGAGCTTTCTCTCTCTCTCTCTCTCTCTCTCTCTCTACCCCACTCCCTCTTTCTTACCCTACCGCCACCCCACCCTGTGAGGACACAGTGAGAAGGTGGCCATCTGCAAGCCAGGAAAGGAGCTCTCACCAGAAACCAAACCCTGCCAGCCCTTGATCTTAAACCTCCAGCCTCCAGAACTATGAGATAATAAATTTCCGTTGTTTAAGCTCCCCAGTCTATGGTATTTTGTTATGGCAGCCAAAGCAGACTAAGACAGTATTTCTCTACAGAGAATTGCTTTTCTCCTTAGCGGAGCCATAATGGAAAAAGAAAGTTTGAGAAACACTCTCCTAGAGAATTCTTCATTTGAAAGGGTTTAGGGTCTTACTGGAAAGTCTTTCATTTCATAGTTTAGAGTACTGCTTCTCTACGACACTAAAGTTGTGCCCCCAAGAGGCATTTGGCAATGTCTGGAGACATTTTGGGTTGTCACGACTCAGTGGGCTGCTACTGGCATCCAAAGGGTAGAGGCAGGGACACTGCTAAATATCCTACAGTGCACAGGACAGCTCTTCCCACAGGAGAGAATTATCCAGGTCAAAATGTCAGTGGTGCTGCCATTGAGAATGGTTTAGAGCAAAACAAACTTCAGGAGCCTTCACATTCTGCCACAAAACTTCCTAGAAACCTGAGGCCTGCAGCCTTGTCCTGTAACAGCCTGCCTGGCCACCTTTAAGCACCAGTGGTGGCTCCAGGAGGAGCTCACCCCCAGCCCCCACAGAGCAGTTCCCAAGACTGGAAGGCCCCCACCTACCAGTGCCTGAGCAGGGGCAGCTGCCCTGGGCCCACAGGTCTCCCAGAGGCCAGAAGGAACAGGCCAGGAAGAAAGAACCAACAAACTCATCGGACTCCTACCCAAGGACCATAGCAAGCAAAGCCAGAGCTTAACACAGTCCTTCTCACTTCCTGGGGGAGGCCAAGCACCAGAGAACCAGAGGCTTCACGGTGGAGTTCAAGAAGAAGACCCCTCGAGGAAGGAGAATCCCAGAGCAGAACCAATAATAGTGATACTACCGCCACCAACCACAGCTAATAGTTCCTATCCAGGACCCTGCTGTGCTGCCCAGCAGCTCGCTGAGCACTTTACAACCATCAACTCATTTGGACATCATGACAATCCAAGGTAGGTATTGTTCCACTGCACAACTGAGGAAACTGAGGCACAGAAAAGTTGAGCAACTTGATCAAAATAGAATTCCAAAGTGGAAGAGTTGGGAATTAGAAAGAAGGACCCAGGAGGGCAAGACCAATAACAAACTAGGAGAGTGACACCAGGTTTCAGATTCAAGACCTACTGTATGGTGGGCTCGTTCCACCACTCCACACACAACCTTGGGGGTGGCTGTTATGGTTTCCTCTTTTACAGATGAGGACTCGAAGCTCAGAAGCAGTAAGGGGCTTGCCAGTGGAAGGCAGAGCCAACTGAAGGCCAGGGCACCTAGGAGGACTGGGAGGCCCCAGCAAGAGCCCACTTACCTGAGAAGATTGAAGCAAGCCTGAAGATATCTGAGAGGCGGGAGGTCACCGGCTCATAGGGTGAGGCTTCATAGAACTCTTCACCTGGAAGAGAGAACCAGTGTCAGGCACAGGCCCACCCTTCCTACAGGACTAGACGAGAGCAAGTTATGAATGAAACGGTGAGCATTTCACACAGGTAAGTTCTTTCTCACCAATTAGAGAAGTCCCCACAGCAGGTCAGTACTGCCAATACTCTCCTCTACTGACCTCCCTGCATGTCCAGCCCTTTCTAAGGCCTTCCAAATGCTTCTTGAAAGAAGGCACTGGGGAGGTGCCCATGGAAGGCCAGGTATAAATCACAGGATTTGAAGCCAAAGGCCCTCCAAAGTCATTCAGTGCAACTTCCTCATTTCACAAGCGAGGACCCTGAGGTGGGCCAGGGAGGTGAAGCAACCTGACTGAGATCACACAGCTACTCACGACAGAGCTAGACTAGACTCTGGTCCCCTGACCCTCACACCAGCATTGTCTCTCGTCACACTAGGTTGGCTCTGCCCAGGCCACGTAAGGGCAGAGAACTTCCTCTTTGCTTCCCATCATGTCATCATGATAGGGCTGAAGGTCTTCTCAGTGGAATCCTGATCCCCAGCTTGTCTGACTGACTCCCTGCCACCTGATGGCTTCTCAGACTTCTCCTCGAGGCTTCTGGGTGCATCAGAGATTCAGTGAATGGAAAAGCAAGCGAGTGACAGGAGATAAATGGCACAGGGATGCCCTGGAGACCCACCGCCTCCTCATGGGGACTCCCGCCCTTTGCCAAAACCTCAGCAGGAGAGGAAATATCCTCTTGAGACTTTACTGTGAGGAGAAATCAATGGGTAATCACTCAGACTGCGTGTTTGTGTTGAAGGGGCGGGGGAGACAGGTGATGACCCACAGCTTCACACATTGATTTCCTATCCACCCAGGGCCCAGCACCTAAAGAAGAGTACATGTGGGGTGGTATCCATGGGGGCCACCTGCAGGAAGGTACCAGCCATCCAGAAGAGGGGACTTGGAATCTGCCTGTAAAGGGCGCATTCAGCCAGGCCCATGAGGTCACCCAGAGGCTAGCACTCCAGGCTTGTCCAGCCCTCTGCTGGTTCACAGAGAAAGGCATCTGTCTGCTATATCTGGCAGACCCCCCAAAAATGGTACAGATTCCCCAGATGTTCATTTTCTCCCTGGAGAAATGTCCTCTACCCTTCACTTTACCCTATACCCTCATGCCCTGCAACACCCAGCAAATGCGTTACACACAATGGGTGCCCAAGTGGTATCTTACTATCCAAAGGTTATTCTTTCAGGCCAGTCCCAATCCCACCTTCCCCCTGGACTGTCACAGGGCTGTACCATCTCAGCAAACTCCACTCTACCCACAGACACTGGAGAAACTCCCGGTGGTGGGGTTACCAGCCATTGCTATTTGTTAGGGCCAAATAATACAAGAGCTTTTGGTAATAAAAATGATGTTACACTAAGCCTTCTATGTACCAGCACCATTGAAAGTGCTTTAGGTGTACTAACTCATTTAATTCTCTCGTCTATGAGATAGGCACTACCCTTTGTTTTATTGATAAAGAACTGGGGTACAGAGACGTTAAGAAACTGGCCCAAGGTCACACAGCTGGTAAGTGCCAGGTTTCAAACCCAGGCAGCTGACTCCAGAGTCCAAGTACTTAAACATTATGAATACTGTCTCCAAAAGTAAAAGTGCTATTGAACCAAACTGTTCTTACACAAGTAGCGCTGCTGTTTAACTTTTTAGAGTCAGTCTTATGCCAGCCAGACTGCTCCCCCAGACCAGGTCCTTCTCTCCCGTATCTGGCAAAGCTAGGCCCGCGAGTATGGATCAGCTAGTATGACTGACTGGGGGCGGGATGGGCGGGGGTGGAATCTCTTGGGGAAAACAGCCTCTTCCAGGACTGGCTGGAAAAGGTCCATCCTATTTAAGTCAACCCATGCTGCCTGTTCCTGTGGCAGAATTCACCAGTGGGAAATCAGAGACCTGGCCACACGGGCATCCCGGCAACCAGATTAAACTAGATCTAGGATGTCACATTCCTGGGCCATGACCTGGGAGAGGCCTTTGCTCTTCACATCTGAAGGAGCAGAATGACCTCAAACTTTAGTGCCACTTTTGGAGAAGTCGAGAAGTGGTCTCAAGTCCCCCATGCAGCCAACCAACAGTGACAGTGCCACCATGTAAGATAGTGGTGGTTGTGGTGGTGTGACAGAAAGGGAAGATGAGCCCGAGACCACAGGATCTCTCCAGGGCAGCTGGAAAGGGGCCTGGATAAGGAGTCCTGGGGGGCCCTGGTCCCACCAGCCCCCCTCCCTGCACCTCAGCTTCCCCACCAAAGTGGGAGCGGGATGGAATGATCTCTAGGTCTTTGCAGTTGGGACCATCTAGGACCTGAGCAGAGGCCACAGTCCTGCCACCGCCAGCTCTGTCCACTGCTAAGGACCTCAGACTAGGCACAGCTCAGCCTCAGGTGGAGGGAGAAGAGAGGAATCGCACCCACCAGCCAGGACCAAGGAGAAGCCACAATCAAAGTCCAAACCCGCACAGATCTCTCCACTCCACAATCCCCCACCCCGCCCCAGGCCCAAGCCGGGTTATTAAGTGTTATTAAAGAATAGGGAGGAAGTGCTTACAGCCTCCCCCAGGGAGACCACTCATCCCACACCATGAATAATTAACCCTCAGGTGGATCCTGTCACTCACAGGAACATTACCTGCTGTTAAAAGGCCTCTCAGCTTTCCCTGACCAACCCTGGGCAGAAAATACCTCTGACTCCTAACAGCCAGGAATGGGGGCAGGGTAGGTTTTGAGGAAGGAGAAAAGCAGGGAGTCTACTTTTCCAGAGTTGGCCCACGGGAGGGGTCTCCTAGCCTGTATGCTTGCCAGCACAGGGACCATGGCTGAATCTGTGTTCTCACCTTCTGGAGCACACAGTAGGGGCTACACAGACGTTTGCCTGGTAAGGGAACCAACAAGCCAGCTCACGCCTCCCCAGGCTGACATTCCTGGGTTGAAAGGGCCTTGAAGACCACATGGCAGGATGCAGCATAAATGCACAGAACGCACACTGCTATCATCCAAATGCCTCACTGCCTGGCTGCGATCAGGAAGGTTCTTGGTGTTCTGACACGGTGATGCCAGAGGGAGCCATTCCGGTGGCCCTCAGGTGGCCCACCTGGCTCTTCCAGCTGGCAGTTCTTCTGTCCCCTCCCCAGTGCATCCGTCCTACAAGCCCTCAACAAGCCCATCCTGCAAGCCCTCAACAAGCCCACCCCCAAGTGCCACGCAGCCTCCCTTGGGTTGAGACTGAAGGCCATGGGAAAGAAAACAAGAAACTAAACAAGCCAGCTGTTGAATTAGGAACCTCAGTTTTCACGCACTACAGAGGCATCCTCCGGGTGAAGACCGCTCCTTGCCTTGCAGAGAATAAACATCACTCGCTTTGTGGCGGTGTTTCCCTCTCTGCTCACTTCTAGTTCTAGGACTCGAAGCTACTAGGAACAGGAGACCTACACATGAGGAATTACTTTGCTATTAATGGTGGTAACACTGTTCATAATTACATGCCCGGTTTACTTCCAAATTCAAGGCAGATTGGAACCATCTTGGCCACTGGTCAGGAATCCCTCATTCTCCAGCCTCACACCCGATCCCAGTTTCCTCCTTCCCTCCAGCACCCTGCTCCTCCATCCGAGGCTAATCAAGGGCACTGTTCCACAGTGCAGCCCTCTCTCTTCACCTCGACATCCCTATCACTCCCAGTCTACCTTAGAATTCAAGCTGCTCCACCCTCTCACCTCTTACAAAAGAAGTCATCCTTTGTTCTCCTCTCCTCTTCACTCCAAAGTTCTAGAAGACATCCACAGTCACCACTCCCAGCCCCCAGCTCCCATTCACTCCCTAACCAGGCTTCTGCTCCCAGCGACCACCTACAATGCTCACCCCAAAGGCATGAGGGACATGTCCTAGAGACTGTGGACCCTCTCTCCTCCCCAGGTTTCTTGGTGTACCTCCCACCTCTCTCCCAACACCTCCCCCCAACCTCTGCAGGTCCCTCTCCCTCCCCTGCTGGCACATCTTTAAATGCTGGGGGTCCTGAGGGCTCTGTCCCTGCCCTCCTCTCAGTGTGTGCACCCCACTCCCATGGCCCCAGTCACACCTACAGGCTAATGGTGGCTCCTCAATCTCCATGTCCAGTGCCACTTCCCCACCTGGACTCCAGCTGTGTGCAGGGCATGGCCAGTGAGAGCCATGTGCCCCAAAATAAAGGAATCATCTCCCTGCTCTCCCCCCTTGGCTGCTTCTTATGAACCAACCCAGTTGCCCAAAAGAGAAAACTGCCCTCCTCGAGTCCTCTCTCTTCACCAAGACCTGTTGATTCCACCTCCTAAATAGCTCTTGAACCCTCCTCCCTCTTTCCTGCCACTGTCCTTGGCCAGCTGGCCAAGCTGCTGCCCTCCAGGTCCCACATCCCTCCCCTCTCCTCACCCCATCCCCACTTCCAACCCCCCACCTTACTACACTGAGTCACTTGCAGACCGGCAACTCCCTTCTGGGAGTCTTTGCCCAAGCTCCCCTCCACTTCCCACACTCTCCCCACATTCCTCCCTCCCCCCCACTGTGTAACTGCAGCTCACTCCTTAGTCTCAGATCAAAGGCTGCCTCTTCCAGGAAGACTCTGTAGATTTCATAAGAGGCTGCCTTGGGCTACCACAGCACCAGTGCTTTCTGACAGCACTCACACCACCAAGTGACAGAAAGCCCCTCACTTATCTACATCCCCTCACAAACTCTGAGCTCCAAGAAGCCAGAGGCTACCCCAGCTTGTTCTCCACTGTTGCACAGGCCTGGCAGATGAGAACCTCTCAATAAACAGTTGTTGAATCAAGAAATGAACGTCTAACCAAGGCGGCCAATCCCCCTGCACTGTACACAAATCCCCCACACTGTAGTCCGGAGGGGAGGATGGGGGTGTGTGGAGTGGGTTGTTAGGGGAGGGAGCTGGTAAGGTGCCACCTTGGGACCTGAAGCGGCCTGCTGCCCACACACTGCCCCAAGCCCTATAGAAGGTGCCTAGGCCAGCCCTGCAGTCAGGAAGACACCTGAAGAGCAGGTGTCCTGGCAGCAGGAAGAACAGAAATGGGACTGCCCTTCGCTGAGCACCCAGGGCTTCGGGGAGTCCCAGGGACTGGTTTGCTTGGAAGCACAGCTCTGCATGCACAGGACCCACCCTCCCTTCTCCATCTGCCTGGGTACCCCAGCCTTCCCTTCTCTGTTACCACTTCACTCGTCCATCAGTCCATCCATCCTCTCCCGACCCCTACCCTCTCCTTTCTCCAGCCTTGTTCTTCTCCCACCACCTGGCCCTGTCTCCTTCCCAGCTGTCACTCTCCCTCCTCCTCCATGTCTCCAGGCTAACTCCGACAACCCCTACTTCCTCTGCGTTCTAGGCCCCCGTGGCAGGGGGCGACAGAGAGCTTGCCAGTTCCCTCCACTACCAAGTCCTACCCTGAACCTGCCCCACCTCCCCACCCTCCGCCCTGCGCAGCCCTCCCCACCACCCCCATCCCACCGCATCCCTCCACCCCACCCCCCCCCCACCCCGCCAGGCCCGGCTGGGCTTACCCTCGGTCAGCCCCAGGTGGATACTCCAGTAGATCTGCAAGCACTGCAGCTCCCTCTTCATGCCCCGCTTGCAGCGGCAGTCGTAGAGAGGGCTCTCCTGCAGGACCTCCAGGGCCGCCTGGCACTCCTTGTTGGCCAGCATGGTGTTGCGGTCCCGGCCTGCCAGGCACTGCCGCAGCGTGCGGTAGCGGGAGCTGCAGTTGGATTCCGCGGCGCACAGCTCATTGGCCCGGACGCAGTCCACTGGGGGGCGCCAGCCGTGGAGCTCGGGGCCCTGCAGGGAGGAAGGGCTGGCCAAAGAGCGGAGGGTCTCGTCTGGGTGGTGGGGAGGGAAGACAAGCATGAATGAGGGCCGCCATAATCTCTGACCCAAGATGCAGGCCTGGGGGCTTGCGCCCTTCTGGGAAACTCCACACCCATTTTACTCCAAAGCACACCAAGGCCACCACAGAGCCGGTGAGAGGAAGAGCTGTGAAAGGACTCCAAGACACCAACACCCCTCCTCAAACCAGAAGGAGAATTCGAGCTGTCATTCTGCCCTGGTTCTACCAGATTCCCTTCCGATTCCACCCTGTCACCCCACAGCCCTGGGCCCAGGAGCAGAGCACGGGAAAGCCAGAAGATCCTTCGGAGAGACCACAGACCCTGTAAAAGACCAGGAGGCCAGAGAAGAAGGTCACAGCCTCAGCAGAGAGCTGGGGGCTGCAGGACCTGCTTGAGCATGCGGAGGGGGACCCTCACTTTCCTGCTGCCCAAACCTCCATCAACCTCAGTTCCAGCCAGAGGTCCAGCCAACATGCTGGGCTAAGCCGGGAAAGCAGCAGAATATTATTTAACCTTCCTAGTCTGTTAGGACTTTAGAGACACAGTGTCCAGCCCCCACATTTTACCATGGGGTTGGGGGGGTGGGGGGACTGAGACCTAAAGAAGGGAGATAACAACTCAAGGTCACACACAGGCCGAAAAGATCCCTCAGACTCCTAACCTGTCCATTCTAAGTTCCCAGACCCTAAGAGAAGACCCCAAGAGACAAGCCTGAGCCTGTGGCCTGAGGCAAGGCATGCCTGGAAGGGAGCAGCTACCTCTCCCCGGCCCAACCCTCCACACCTTCCAGTCCAACTGCACACTGGCTAGAGAGCTGAAAACAGGATTTCTGTAGACAAGCTTTACCCCAGCCCCACAGACAGAAAGTGCTGCAGGCAAGCCTGACAAGCAACTCGATTTCCTCTGTGTGTGTGTGTGTGTGTGTGTGTGTGTGTGTGTGTGTGTCCAGACGGGCCTTTTCCATGTCTCTCTCTCACACACTTCTCTCTCTGACTTCCTCCTAAGGTCTATTTCTCCATCACCTTTGCTCTTTGAATAGCTCTGTGCTCTTGCTCACTCTCTCTCTATAGCATCTACTATTTTCTTCTCTTTCTTCCCTCTCTTTCCACCCTCCCCTGAAACCCTGTCCCCCTCTGTCTCTCCTTTTTTTTTTTTCTTTCCAAAAGCCAAATAATAAGCCAATTACAAAAGAGAAAGAGCTTCCCTCCTCAGACCCTGGCCTTGCACATGGAGCCTCACCTCTCCAAAAGTGAACAAGCAGAATTCAGCCACCTTTCTTACCCATCACCCTCAGAGCATCTAAACCCACAGGCCTCTTGAAGGAAGGGGCTCAGGGAAAAAGATTCAGAAGTGAAGGGTAGGGAGGGGCTCACTTGGTCCTGTCAAAATCAAGCTCCCAAAATGGTTTCCTCTAGACACAGGTATTTCCCTGGTCTCCCTGTCCTCTCCAAGCCCCTCACTCCAGATTCTGCCCCAGAAAAAGCTCTTCTGTGCACCAGAGCCAAGACTGCCTTTTCCAAGACCCAGGAGTGATCTGGGAGGCCTCCTCCATTCCATCCAGCCCAAAACATTGTAAGATCCTAGGCCAGAAGTCCCCTCCTCAGAATCCCCCCCACACACCCTACCGCATTCCCTATCCAGAACAGCCACTTCTCATTCCTTCCCCCAGAAGGCCCTGCTCACAGTGGGGGGGGGGGGGGGGGGGGGGGGGGTGCTACCACAGGGAGAGAGCGACACCTAGAGGCAGAGCACTGCACCACGAGCCTGTCACTCCCTACAGCTGCAGAGGGAAAAGGAAACCGCTGCTGGAAGGGAGGACACTCACCCACAAGAAAAGGAAGTAAAGGAGGAAGGGGTAGGCCAGAGCAAAAGATAATACCTCTCCCATTGACCATACCTCTGCCCCAGGACAGGAAGAGCTGAAGGCTGTGACCAGGCTGAGACAAGACCAGAGAAGAAGCCAGCATGGAGTGGGGGCATCTGCCCAGGCACTGGCTGGAGAGGTGTCCTCCACCCAAGCAGAGGCAGCAGCTTTATTTCCTGGCTTCAGCAAATTCTTAGGTCCCTGAGCAAGACTCAGTGCATGTGGGCCACCCACAACCAGCTGAGCTGACCCAGCCTCACTTGCACCTGCTGCCCCCACCTAGCCAGCCAGCCTGCCTGCTCAAGAATAACCCAGCCCTGGGACTTCCACTGACTTCACCCCAACATCCCAGCAGCTTTCTCCCTTCCTATCTTGACTGAGCCTGAGGATGCACTGTCGGAGACAGACTGAGAAAGGAGCATGTGGGCAGGTTTAAAGGTCAGGACATTGGCCTAGCGGACTGGGGCAATAAAAGCACTTACCCTGCATGCCCGGCAGGTGGGGTCCGGAGCCCCACGGAACAATCCTTACAGAATCCTGGGCTCCTGTGCCAAAAGCAAGGGCTTCCCCCATGCTGCCAGTGGGCACATGTGACTGGGGCAGGAAGATGCTCTGCAGAGAGCCAGTGAATCCTCTCACCAAACTCTCTGACTGCACCTATCCCTGGCTCTTCTAGTTGGCGTCACGACCCCCAGAACCAATCAAGCCCAGCAAGAGAAAGAAATAGCAACTGAGAGCCTTGGTCCAGGAATTCCAAAAGAGTAAAGGTCAGAGGGTACTCTGGAGATGCTCCCAAGTTCTAGGTCAGGGAAAAAACTCAGATCCATCAAGAAAAGACATGTGGAACAGCTCTTAGAGACAAGGGGGACCGAGAGACTACGTGGAGCTATACTGAACATCTTGGCAACAGCCAGAATGTTCATTCTCCCTCCTGGGCATGTCAACACTGGAGGTCAGGATGACTGGCCAGAAAGGCCTCTCTACCCCAAGACCTCACTCAGAACCTTAGGGGGTGCTCACTGAAGACCTGTGCTCCTGGGAACATGCTTCACCGTGCCTCTCACACACTGAAACTGCCTACCCAGTCTCAGGCTCCACAAAACCTCTCCCCCAAGTGGAATTTCCAACCAACTCCCAACAGTAGGATCCTTGCCAGGAAAGTGGCCCTGAGGCTGAAGTTTCCTTAATAACAACGTATCCCTTCCTCCTTGGTGGGCCTAACCCACAGCCTTCCGATATCCTGTGGTCACTCAGTTAACCCCTCCCCTGCCCTGGCTTTGGAAAGGGGCATCTCAAGGGAAGGGCTTTGACCAAAAGGGCTGCTTACCCCCTGCTCTTACTCCTCCTCTCACCACTCAGCCCCCAGGGTCTCAGAGTCCAGGGTGCATCTCTGACACACGCAAACACACACACACACACACACACACACACACACACGCATGCATGCATGCTCTCACACACCTATATCATGAGAACAAAGTCAACTCCTCTAGCCCTCTCAGCTGAAAAAAGCCTGCCTGCAACATGGTGTTCTGTGCCGAGACAGGACTAAGGGGCCCATATTGCTGTTTTCTATCCCAGGACATTAGAAGCCCCCTCTGGGGTGTACACAGCTCAGCAGCGCACAATCTGGTTGCTTTTCCTGAAATATAATTTTCTTTTCTTCTTGGCCCTGCTCATTCTTGATCCCAAAAAGCTGGATTTTCAGACCATCAGTGGGAGAAAAGGTCAGGTTTTATAACAACCCCTTTGGAATGAGAGTCCACTTGCAGTGGGTAGCCAGGAAGGGCTGCAGGATCACAATGGGCCTGGAGTACCTCTCCAGCTCCCTCCCACACCCTCTCCTACCCAAGAGAGGAGCTGCCTCAGACTTAGGAAGGCAGGACCTCCAAGGCCATACCCTAGAGCAGGGCCAAGCCCCCTAGGAAGTTTCTGGGAAGGGGCAAAGGATGCGGGTGGACAAAGGGTCCAGCGCCCAACCAATATTGACTCAAATCCCCTGTTCAAGTCAAGTGAGCACTTATTAGACCATCCAAATCTTTCCAGGATAGGCACCTACCTCCTCAGGCCTTCCCCTCTCCCCTCTACCAGGAGGCAAAGGGTACACTCTGGACCCAGCCTGGCAGCCTGGCTCACCACTGGCTAATTCCAGGCCAGGGTGGTGGGAAGAGCATCCACACTGAAGCAGATGTGTGCTCCCTCAACACATGCATTCCACAGCTCCCTCTCTGGAGCACCTTCTCCAGAGCAGCAGCCTTGCCTGGGACTCCAGGTCTGCCCAGGGCCTCAGAAACGCCTTCTCCCTCACCTCCACTCCCAGAATGCTCTCTCTGAACCTATTTCCCAAGCAACTGAGATTTCACATAGCACAAAAGGGGGTGAGAGGTTGGGAATTCTGGGTGGGAAAGAGACTGCCCAAGGTTTGGGGGCACCAGGCAGCCCCTCCTCCCTGCCCTTGGAGGAGGGGGCTTACAGAATGGGCACTGGTCTTTGTTCAGATCTCTTTCTTCCAACATCCCTCTCTTTCTTCATCCAAGGAAGCAAACTTTGACCTCCCTCCTCTTCCTACAAACTACAGGGTGCCCCCGAGGCCAGAGGTGGTGAAGGATAGGCAGTGAATGGATGCTCCAAACCCTCCACTCCGGCCCAGGTATCTGGCTTGGGTCTGGGCTACAGGAAGGGCAAAGGGTGGGGAGAAACTTGAAAAGTGTTCCAGGGAGCGGGGCCACTGGAAAGGATTTCCGGGTGCGGGAAGCGGGATGCACTTTCCAGAGGTTGATTGGCAGGTGAGGGGATGGCTGCCATCGCTGCCCCCACACACGTCCAAGCAGGAGCTCCTGGAGAAACCCATGCTGTCCGCCCGAGTCGATCCGGGAGCCGACAAGAAAGATGGAACTGGCATGATTTTTCTCTCCGCGACACTGTGCCTCTCCCCACCCACCCTCCTCTCTTCCAAATCAAGAGTTGCAATTCTTTTTTTCTCAAGTTGCCGCAATTTGAATCCATTATTTTGGGAGAAATGAATGCTAGTAGCATTGTGTGCGAGTAAGCGAGTGTGCCTGTGTGTGCGTGCGTATGTGCGGGGATGGTTAGGGTGTTCCACGTCTCCTTCCCAAGCCCCTTCGTAACCAGCCAGCAGCGGTTCGCGTCCCTCCGCCCTCATCCTCGCCGCCCGGCCCCGCTCGGTTCGGCAGCGCTGGGGCCCGGCTCGCTCCGCGGCGCGCTCTCCCCGCCGGTCTCCAGCCCGCGCCCCGCTCGCCCGCCGCGTTCCCGGCTTCTTGCCGGCGCCCGAACGCGCGGCCCCGCGCGGCCCCCCAGGCTCCCGCGGACAAGCTGCCCTCCTCCGTCCCCGCCCGCAGGTACTCACCTAAAAAGAAGAGGAGGCAGAAGACGTTTGCCAAGATCATGTTAAATAAATCCCACAGTTTTTTGTGTTTTTTTTTCTTTCTCCCTTGGGTAAAAAAAATAATAATAACAACAACAATAATAATAGCCAAGCAGTGATAATCAGCCCCAAATCCAATGCGGAGATCCCAAGCTAGTCCACCCGATGAAGATCCCGAGTCCTGCGATTCTCGCCTCTGGGGTGGGGGGTAAGGAGGGCGGTGGGCTGCCTCTCGACGCCCTTCTTGCCCACTAAAATGAAATATACACGTATGTGAGGATATATCTGCTTTACAAGCCGAGAGCCCGGTCGTCGCTCTGTCCTCCCCTCCGCTGCTCCGGAAAGGCGCGAGTCTCCGCGGGTCCAATTCCCCTGCGCTTCCCAGGAGCGGACTGGGGAGGTGGGGGAGAGGCGATTTGAGAGTGAAGGGCTGGAAGGAAGCAGCAAGGGTGGGGGTCAGAATAAAATGCAAATAGAGAAATCCACCGACGGGTGTTAGCGCCAAGGAACAATCCGGTGGGAGCTTCGAGGACGAGAGCCCGGAGTCGCTTCTTTCGCACCAAGACGAAGAAAAGATTCAAACAAAAAAAAATCTTCTCCCGCTAACCCTTGCTCGTCTCACTTTTTTCTAATGGAATTCCAGTGACCGTGTGTATCTGCGTGCGTGTGTCTTTCTCTCGTCTCCCTCCCTCTCCTCTCCCTGGCTCTCGCTCTTTGCTCTCGCTCTCTCCAGCTCTCCCTCGCTCTCCTCCCTCCCTCCCCCTTCTCCCTCTCTCCCTGCTCCTCCCTCCGCCCGCCCCCCTTCCCCCTTCGCGGCTCCCTCGCCGCGGCTCTCGCGCCCGCGCCCCTCTTCTCCGCCCGGGGCTCGGCGCTCGGGCTCCCAGGCGGCTGGCGGCGCGGGGAGCGGGAGCGCGGCGGAGAAGCGACACTCTGCAGCGGCGGTGGCGACACGGCGGTGGCGGTGGCGCCGGCGCCGGGGAACGCTGGACGAGAGGAGAGCTCCGCCGCTGACTCCCTCTGCTCTGGCGCCCGCCCTTCTCGGGACTGACCTGATGCCTTGGCCGGAAACTGACCCACTTGCGGGGCTACGGCTCAAGCCCACCAAAGGCTCCGCACCCTCCCCCTCCCCCGCCGCCCCACCAGACCTCCCCCTGCGGCGGGCGGTTTGCGCCCTCCAACCCCCACTGCCCGTGCCCCCGCCGCCTCGGTCCACGGGTCCTGGAGGCCTGGGGAGGCTCAGCTGAGGCCGGAGGGCGTGGGGAGTCCCGGACATCCCAGCCCTCCCGGGGTGTGGGGGAGGGGCGCTCGAAACCCCCCCCCCCCAGGCCTGGTGGCCAGGGTCTGGGGAGGGGCTCCACCCTCCTTAAGCGGAAGCGTCCTTGGACCCGGGAGTCCAAGCAGAGTGTCTCCCCGAAGGTGCTAGAGAAAAGAAAGACCCCCTCAAGCGCCAGCCCCCAGCGTCCCCGCGCAGCCTGCCTGCCCAGGTCCAGCCCCGAACACGCATACACCTGTGCTCTCCACGCGGGGCTCGAGAACTTTCCCTACACACCCCCGGCGCCCCGCATGCCCCGGCGTTGCAGCCCTTCGAGACTCCCCTTCCCCAATGGTCTCTCCTCCCCTGGTGCGGGAGGAAGGCCGTGGTGTCTGAGCGCCCTGACCGCCTCCTAGAACAGCGGACTTGCCCGAACCGCACGAGAGGGATCGGTCCGGGGCTGGAACCCCACCCCGGGGGGCGCTCCGGAGACCGACCCGGCCCAGGGATCCGTGCCAAGCTTGGCGGCCCGCGCTCGGCGACGGGCTGGGCTCCGAGAGCTCTCCTGAGGCAACCCGCAGCTCCTCGCTTCGGAGGCACCGGGAGGGGTCCCCTCCCCCAGCCGAGAAGGGGGCGACTGATCCATCTGTCGATGGGCCGGGCTCACCGGCGTGTTTTAGTCACGGAATTTACAGTAAACGCCCAGAGGCACCAAAAAGGAAGCGTCTGGCTGGGAAAGGGCTGAAGGAGAGGTGAGGTTGCTGGCACGTTCCGGCAAGAGGGGGCGAGGCGGCGGGGCGGGGGACACGCCCACGCACGCCGGGCACCCCAGTTTCACTCTTACTCCTGACACATCCTCAGCAACGTTCGAGCTGCCTGCGTCCCTCGGCTTTGGTGCACACATTCCTACATTCGGCGCGCACCCCGGGTACTGGGGTGGGGTACACCCAGTGCCTTAAACTTTCGGCGCTACTCAAAACCGGATCTAAGGTGTATTTGGTGGTGTCTTTTACCATGCATGTTTAAATGAACAAGTCTCTAGAAAAGAGTAAACGCTAGAAATCGACCTGGGCTCGAAAGGAAGGGTCACTCACAAAACCATCAGCCTTCGCTAGTGGAAGAGCTAGAGGGAGCAACTTCCATCTTGCGGATTTAGGCGGGAACACGGATCCCCCAGCCTTGGAAGCACAGCGCGCGGGTCTTCTTCGAATACCTCTCTCCTTTTGCTAATGTTGGGGCGTCGGCCGGGGCCCTAGCCCCTCCCCCTGCCCACCACTGAATGATGCCCTATGGAGGTGCGGCCGAACCCAAGGAGTGGGAGACGGGGTCCAAGAATGCTTGGGGTAAGAGCTGGGGAAAGCCTCCTCAGGGCAGACCTCCCTGCCGTTCCTCTGGGCCTCTGTTCTAGGAAAAGACCACAACTGACAAGACCTCCCTGCCTCGTTTCCAGAATTCGGGGACTTAAGGAAGCAGCTTCGGAAAAGTATAGATGAAAGGGTAACAAGCCCATGGGCTTATGCTGCTGGGGAGTCTGGGGAGACTGGAGGCCAGAGGCTAGGAAGCTCCCGCAAATAAACTTTCTCCCTCCCCTCCCCCATTTCAGGGACTTCTGGTAGCCCAAATTCCCTCCACCATCCCCACGCGCTCTGGTATCCCATGCAGCTTTTCCCTCTCAAGGGCTAACTCTACTCCCGGCTCCCAAATCAACACATCGCTCTTTCTCCTCTAAAACTTTAACTGTCTTTTAACCCTGGCTAGACATAAGGACAACTCTCTGGGGGTGCCTGGGAGGCTCAGGCAGTTATGCTTAGGACTTCAGCTCAGGTCATGATCTCACAACTCCTGGGTTGTGACAGCTGTGCTGACAGCTCAGAGCCTGAAGCCTTCTTATTCTGTGTCTCCCTCTCTCTCTCCTCCCTTCCACCATTTGTTTTCTCTCTCTCTCTCTCTCTCTCTCTCTCTCTCTCTCTCTCTCTCTCTCAAAAATCAATAAACATATATGGAAGGACAACTTTCTGAAACATGTGGGAGCTTTGCCTGACCCCCTTTCTGGTGAAGGGAGCTGAGAAAGCAGCAATGGACACCAGGCATGGCTCCCATTGACTTGCCTTCTTGGCGGGAGGGGAATCTGGTAGCAAGAGGTGAGTGGCTGAGGCCCTTCAGGGACTAGGCATCACTGGCCTTAACAAGGACACTAGACAACACCAACCAGACCAACATTGAGCTTGTTGTGGCTGTGGGGCCCTCTGGCGTTGGGCCCTCTCTTCCTCCCTGTCTATACAAGCCTCTCCCAATACAGCCTACCCTCTGCTGACCCCAGCCCTCAACCTACGTTGCCCTTAGATATGGCAGAGTCCAGGTGCCACACCATTATTTCCTGAGCACATGCTATATGTAAGCCTCCCACCCCACCAGGATATGCAGAGGAAACACAAAGGAACACATACTAGCCATAGGCAATTTAATCTATAAAATCTTTATAAAATGAGGATAAAAAAAATCTTAAGGAAATTTCATGAGATACTATACACAGAGTAGCTAGTCAGATGCCTGGTTCATAGGCAGTTGTTCATAAAATGTCACCCCTTTCCTCTGGGATCCAGAAAAAAGAATTGGGTACCTATGACAAGGCATAAAACTTAGTGCGGAATAAGAAGGGAAGATAAAAAGCTATAGTTATTCAAGGGAAATAGAGACTACTTTGTAGAGGATGATGGATAGGAGATCTTGCAACAGGGAGTCATGGGAGAAAGGAGAGTGAGCATGTGTGAACAAAAGCACCTGGGCTTCACTGATGTACTTCCTCACACCCCCAGGTACTGTATCCTTCAGACTGCTTTCCAGAGCCCACCCCAGCTGCCCTGAGCTAACCAGCAGGTAACTCTCATGCCCATCCACCCACCTTGCCTGCCCCTCCACCATCAAAGATCCAGAAGTTATAATGTGCAGAGGGGAAGGAAGGAGAACACTTAGGCCTTTTGTTTCTTCCTTTGCCTCATCTCTCTTGACCTACTCATCTTGTGGAGTGGATTCTCTGGAGGACAAGAGCAATAGAAGCAGAGAGGGAAGAAGGACTGGGGCAGGAGCTTGCAGCCCCACCACAGTACACACACACACACACACACACACACACACAGGCATGTGCACATGCAGTAGCCACAGAGCTCAGCTGACCAGACCTGTACTGCCCCCACAGAATCTCATCCCTTACTTTCCTTCAGTGGAGGGAAGAAGGCTGGGTGTTCCCTTGCCCCAGAGATAAAAGCCAACCAGGGATAAAAAAAAAATGTCAGCTAAGACATGTCAGGAACAAACATGGAACAGCAGCCCAGCAGTCTCCTGCAATCAATCAAGCAGCACCGACTTATTGGACCCCTTTTCTATCCCCAACACAGTGTTGGACTGTTCCTGCCATGGAAGCATTTACACATAGAGTTAGGTCATGTACCCATGAAGAGTAAGCAACCCAAGGGAACACTGACTGGGGCCAAGTAAGAGAAAAGAAGAGTTAGTGCCACTGGATTTCAGGACTTGCTGGGAAAGTAGGACTCAAGCTGGACCTGGAGGATGGGTAGAATTTGACTGAACACAGGGGACAGCATTCTGGGAAGGAGCAGCCAAGGTAAAATCACAGTGGTAAAGGTTTGAGCTGGCCAAGAGTGGGGAGGAACCAAGGGGAAAAGGTTGGGAGGAGCTGATGGGAGAAAATCTGGAAGGTCCCATTGGGATGCATAGTGGAGGACCAAGCTGGGAAGGCTTTGGACTTGCTCCCCTACAAGCTACTGAAGGTCTCTTAGAGGGCGTGTGACGTGATGAAAATGGTATTTTCAGAAGATTGATCTGACAATTCTGTGAAAGATGGAGATAAGAGAAGTTAGGAGGCAATTGTTAACAGTCTCGTCTAAGGTAATGAGGGCCCAAAACCCAAGCAGGCAGGCGGTTGGCAAGGACAGGAGGTGGTGGTGGGTGTGGCAGGAGGGGAAGACCCAGGGACTGGAAGTAGTGGCAGGTGTGGACCAGGAGGTGAGGGCGTGAACTGGAAGTAGTGATGGGCAAGGACTGGAGGTGGGCGTGGAAGGGAGGTGGTAGTGGGCGTGGACAGGAAGTGGTAGGCAAGAACTGGAGGAAGTAAGGGGTGGGGGGAACAGGAGGTGGTGGTGGGCGTGGACAGGAAGTGGTAGGCAAGGACTGGAGGAGGTGGGCGGGGACAGGAAAAGGTGTCAGAGGCACCGTAAAGATAAAGTTTTAAGCTGTTGGTGACAGATTCGTCATGGAGTCCCAGGAGGAGGGAATTTGCCTTCTACTCAGCGGTCAAGACAGACAAGGTGACCAGCCCTGACTTCTCAGTCTCTGTCATGAAAAAAATAATTAAAACTTTATGGCAAGGTACATGTTGATATTTCTTTAATTCTTGTAATAACTCTGTGGGGCAAGTACTCTTAACAGCACCATTTATAAATAAGAAAACTGAGGCAAGAAAAG